TGGCTGGATGAGTGATGGGAGGGGGATGGGTTTCACACGCCCTCTGGTCCTGTCTGGATCACTGCTGCTGAGCCGGCAGACTGTAACCTCAAAACCTCACCACTCGGTTTATCAATCTCACCTCACGTCCCATCGACCTTGTTAAAAATGAGCCGTCTAGACGCTAACAGAGGTGCGTTGTTAAACACAACACAAGCTCATACATCAACAGAAATATATGAATTATAGCTTCAGCCTTTAATAATGAAGCAGGACAGCCTGATACTCACCTGGAATGTGGTGTTCAGTGCTCTGATAGTCAGGTATTTTTAGATGTCCTGCCATTATTAGTCGATACAAACCTCCCGACCCATAGAAAGTCCTCTCAAGAACTCTCAGCCAGTAAGACAATCCATAAGCATGAATATGATATATATACTGCCTTTGATCACATGAGAGGTAAGAAAATTCATTTGACGATGTTGAAAAGTTGTGAAGAGTGTTTGGATTGCTTCTCACTGTGTTTAAGGAGAAATGGGAAATCCATTAGTTAAACAACCCAGGACTTTGGATTGAGACCACGCACTCGGTCTTACCTCCTTTTCCTTTTGATCCTCTTCTTGTTTCCAAGAAAGACACACCTTGGGACACCCAACTTTAAAAGTTTCTTATTTCCACGCTGACATTCTAGCTTGCTTGTTTTCATGAGAAGCCACACAGTTGCGGACGCCTGTGCTTTTATCAGTTCCTTATCAGCTCACCGAGGTACGGTAGCTCGTCCTGCCGCGGCAAATCCATTCTGAGACCACTTCTGGGGGGAACTTTGATGCTTAGTGTTGCAGTTACGGAGGGACGCTTCACAGCCAAATGGCTGAGGTCATGAGTCCATGTCCCTCAGATTTGATTCATTCAGGTAACAGTTCAGTTCTATTGTAAATGTTCTGTCACTTTGAAGAGTACATGCGGCGTATTGCTGCCCAATTTTGTGCAAGTGGCACCCTTTTAAAAGGTGAATGATTCAATAATATGTACAAATTAAATATTGTATAGTTAAGAGTTCACCTACTTCCACAGCCTCCAATGCCTGTGACGAAATCAGCTCCGGTCCCAGCGGCGCCTCCGGCAGCAACCAGTCCACCGTGGACAGACCCAGATCCGGCTTCTCTGCAGTCCGAGCTCAGGCTGAAGATGGAGAGCTCTGCCCCTGGCAGCAGTGGCCCCACTGGGCTGCCTTGCTGGTCCCTGCTAGGGGCCAACACCACGCTGCTGGAGGCCCGGACCATATTGCTGGGCCAGATGGAGGGAAGGGAGGCAAGGGAGAACCAGAACCAGGGCTAAAGCGGGGAAGACTAAAAGGAGAGGTTTTCTAAAGGGACTCGTGAGGGAAACATTACCACTTTTGGCCACAGGGACACAAAACAACACAAAATGAAAGTTCCTCCTGGTAGCTTTAATATACGATTCACGATTATTTAAATAAGCTACCATACAAGCTACTGCTTTGAAGTCACAAAAGACAATATTTATTTAAGACAACATCTTTTATTATATTGTGTGCATTTGATTTTTTTTAAAAAGACAGCTTTTCGAACTTGCGATACTTCCTCCTGCAAACAAAACACAGGGTCAAAAGATGTTTAATCTGGCTAAACTTTGTCCTCAATGCATACCAACCTCATCAATCACAATATTATTTCCAAACAATATCAATCATTTTGTGAGAGCAGAGAGAAGTTCTGTTCTGTCATTTCCACCAAACACAGGAAACATGAGCTGCTTTATGTGTTGGAGGTGGGCGTATGTGTGACATCTGTGCAGAAATGCATGTTTTCCCCAAACACTGAGGCCAAGAGAAGCGGTTTGAGCACTGCCTGGTCGTGTTGTCATGGAGACTGTCGGAGCACGTAGATAATATCTAGAGCTTACTTCAGGCAAACGAAGGGGGAATTTTTTACCGTTCATTTCCATCCTAACTCCCGCTTCAATGTGTGAGCTTTCATCTGCTGCATTCGGAGCTTGTGTGACGGCTGTCTTTCCCTTTCAGTGCAGTAATGAGTACCGCTGTGTGGATGAGAGGACGGCCACTCGTCAGCTAAACCCTTTCACAGAAATAACCACAAACCAGATGCTTTTCAATGGAAAGACATTTATTGGGAAGGTTTGGGCCCACATGAGCCTCAAACGCAAATAAAGGGTTTCATGTACATCACCCTCTAGATTCGGACAACTTTGATCTCTCGAAGTAGTTTCATGCCAGCAATTCTAATGATATCACTTTGTAATGAAACTCCTCAAACATACAATAGTCGTCGCCGTAGAACTAAAAGTGAGTACAAAAGGAATTCATTGCACAGTATTAAAATGCTGTAGGAAGAAAATTGCATCAATGGCGTGACAGAGAGAAATACCTTGTTAACCAGTGGATCTCAAGAGGCACATACTGGAGCTGATCAGAACTTCTACGTGCACACAATATGCTGCTGAGATTAAAGAGGGAGGTTCGATTTAGGGAGCTCATTTTTGAAGTAAGATAGATGTAATTCCTCCTGGAGTCAGAAAGAGAAATGTAATGATCAGGCTTCATCTGGACCAACACTTACATTTTAAACACAGAATTCTGAAAAAGTGAACAAAATCTGGTGTTTAATCAGGTTATGTTAACACCGATTATATTAGTCTGAAAGAAGAAGAAAGTCAGCCTACGCTGACATGGAGCGGCTGATTGGCTGTGTGCATGCATGGATACTCCGCATACTGTAAACAGCATGTGGTTAGCGTCACATCCACCGTGGAATGTTTTGTTTTTTCCTGCCGTACCGGCTAACAGACAGGGCAAACAAACAAAGGACATAAATGAGAGGGAGCACAGGAGGTTGACATAATATACAGAAGAGTTCATGAGTTTGTTTTGCATGAGATTCAGAGAAGCGTTAACATTTACACAATATCAGGAGGCTGAGGCGGAAAAGATGCAAAGATACACATAAAGTAAGTTGGTCTGTGGATTGGTGGACCATCACTATGCCTCGCTCCTCTTAGTTCCTGTTGCTGATTTTGCTGACTGACAACTGCTGCTGGGCTCTAGTTAGTTAGTTAGCTAGCTAGCTAATCAACTTAACGTCAAATTGATGAGTTGGTTGAAAGCGTGGCCTTTAGCTGATCAAACGATGATCATGATATGCTAAAAGACTGATGCTGTGTTCACGCTAAGTGCTTCATGGCGGTCACAACCTGGTGACATGTAGGTAGCTACGATTAACACAAGACAAGACATGCAACACTAAATAAAGAAATAATATACCCTTGTATTGCAGTGTAGAGCTAGTTGGTTTGTATGATAAAAGAAGATTAGAGTACCATTTCATTCTAACATAACTCCGTTTGGCTGCTCAGCTTACATACTTTGAATTTTCAACCTGTATGTTATTTACTTTTAAGGTTGCACTTGAGCACAAGCTTTTAGGATGAGGACTAAGCCATGTGTCTGGCAAACGTAATGGTGTCTGTGGTAACGCTGCCGGGGTTTCACATCTAAACTTGATCCAATACAGTAAATATCAACTACAGAGTGGATGTATAGTCGTGAACGGGGCTTCTTTTTATGCTACCTTTAACCCCACAGAGTAATGTACGACTGTAGGCTATAAAAACCTGACTCTGAGCCCTGGAAGTAACTCGGTTATTACTGTAGGTATGCCAATGATTGCAGCTTGTGTTAGCAGATAAAAACAATGTTGAATCCATTCTTTACGCTCTTGTGAGTTTTGTTTCAGAATGGAAGACCTTCATCCAAACTTTCTGTATACCAAGTGAGCTACAGCCGCGCGTGCACACCACTTCCAACATGTGGAGAAATATACAGCTTGATGTACAGACCTGACGTGCCCAGTCACAGTTGCTAAGCAATGATTGGACAATCACTGTTCAGGGGGAGGGGTTTAGTGAAGGGTCAATTCTCAACAACTGGGTACCATATAGTGTTAGATGTTGGGCCATGAAATGACTTGTGACCTTGAACTAAATTACCTTAAACATTATCAATTTATTACAATTTGACACTTTTTGTAATTTGCCAAGATTCTGTGCTCACTGCACCAAATCCTGGCAAGAAATCATTGAAATTCAGAACGGAGAGCGATAGGAAAGATCTGTGAGACTGGAGTTGATCTACTTGCTGGTCTCCCAAAAGGGTCGGGACAGGTTTGAAAACACAAATGAGAAAAAATAAAAGTTTCCATCTGAACGAATAAAAAGAAAAAAACAGCCGCAGAAATGTTCGCTTACTTGCAGCCGGGAGCAATGTTCCAGCTTAGCCTTGCAGAGAACAGTGGAGGGGTACTCAAAATACTAAAAAAAAAGGTAAAATTAGAACTGTTCTGTTTGGAAAGAGCACATTTGGACACTGGAAAAAAACAGACGCATAAAAAGGTGAAGAAACATCAACTTCTCCTACCACCAATACAAATCCACCTTACTCCCTCCCAGCCCTGGTGCTGGCAGACCTGCTGACGTGGCAGTTCAAAGCGTTTGTTCAGTTGATCTCGGATAAACCTTCACTGTGGTCGTCTCCGTGTCCCTCCACTGACTTGATGTTGCAAAGCCGTAACACACAGGGCAGGCAATGAAGTTTGTGACACGGTGGGTGGTAAATCCCCAAAATATACACCAACAAAAGAGATATTTTTAAGTAGAAGACCTCTGACTGATGGTTGGCTGGCAGAGTAAACCACCTTGCCAGCAGCGACATTTCCTCTGCGCTGTGGGGGATGTTTTCCTGCTCCTCTTAGCAAGACCAGCAAGAAAATATGCAAGTGCTTCGGTGCAAACTATGCAGATTCAAATCTGTGCTGAGAACAGTCTAAATGTATGCAATATGTCTTTTGTGTGTAATAAAAAAGGAAAGAAAAGCCAAGAGCAGAAAATAGTTCTAAAAACCATCCACCATGTGGTTTAATGTGCCGGCCAGCGAAGGAGAGCGCCCACGTTCCCAAAGGGCTGAAGGGAGTGAGAAGTCGGGGGGGGGGGCCGCCGATGCCTTGTTGTCAAAGGCCGCCTCAGTCACCCACATCGCTGTCCTGGTCTCCTATGACCCACAGGAAGTGGAAGCTGAGTGCCAGCAGGGCGGTGCCCAGCAGGTCGCCCAGAGCCGTCAGGTAAGGAATGGAAAAACTGTCGGGATCTTTGCCGCTCCGCCACATGGAGTGCACCATCCAGTCTGCTATGCACAACAGCAGCAACACCTGGAAGAGAAACACAGGAGGATTTGTCTGCGGCTCATTAAGGTGAGGATATTGTGGGAGGCCTACGTTGTCACTTCTCTCGGAAAGAACCGGCAGAAAAGACGGAACGACGTGGAGCAGGACTCAATCCATTTAAAACTATCGATTCATTAAGTCAGTAGTAATCAATTCAAATGAATGGTTCGACATTTTTGGAAACACTTCTTAGCTTTCCTGCTGAGAGTTTAATGAGTGAGTTGATACCACTGTAATGGCTGCATGGTAAATATGTAGCGAGAGCCAGCAGCTTAGCTTAGCACAAACAGTGCTAAGCTAAGCTGGTGTTTCCACTAGCTGTCTGGCAAACGGTCACGGCCAAGAAGAGTAATTTTGACGCTTGGGTTTGGTAGGAACAAATGACATACAACAGATATTTAATAATTTCATTAGTGAGCTTCAGAGGTACTGTTTGGCTGATTTGTTTCTAGCTTTCATGCTAAGCTAAGATGACAAATAAGCGTATTTCCCAAAATGTCAAACTTTTCCTTTAGGAATCATATTAAACCATTGCACAAATAATACTACAGTATAAATAACAAATTTAAAACTTTTGATAAGATGAACTGGTAAAACCTAAAAACTAAAACTATTGTCCCCAAAAAGCTGAAGAGAGATGCACATAGATATAAATATCTATGTCACAATACGCATAAGTGGCCACATTGTATAAGCAGTGAGCTCTACTTCACACAAGGGGATCAGTAAATCTGATCAACCGCTAGTAACTGCCTTCGTACAGTCTTGCCAACCATGACATTCATGTTTCTGTTTTGTTGTCTTTGCAAATGCTCCGATAATTGATTGATTGCTCACTGTGATAAGAGTTTGGTCCGGCTGCTCTTTGTGGATGGAGTTTCTGACTTGTTTATCAAAAAGATTATGAGAAAATGACTCTACTTCTCACTTGATTTATTCCCTCAGTAAACATTGTAAATATGAGTCATAACTCTTCAATACAGCATGATGTTCATTTAGTAAATGATGGTCCACTTAAGAGTCAAATAGACCATAAAGCAGAGTATGCTTTAGGGCGGGGCTACCTTGTGATTGACAGGTCACTAGCACACTGACCTGTCAATCAGGATAGAGGCCTAGCAATGTGTATCCCTCCCTAGCTTCACCCTCTCGTCCACATATGGTCACAGCTGGCTCCAAAAAGACAAGATGGAAACCAATGGGTGACGGCAAGGTGGTTACCTCCATTTCTTTTTGTTCTAGCCGTGCAGTTCATGGGCTGAACTATGAGGGCGAACATGGTAAACGTTATACCTTCTAAATATCCGAATGCTAACATTGTAACTGCAAGCATGCTAGCATGCTGTTGTTAGCATTTAGCTCAAAGCACCATGCTGCATACAGCCTTACAGAGCCACTAGCTTGGCTATACACTCTTCTTAATGACGATACAAATTTAAAAAAAATAATGGTTGTCAGCTTACCCATTTTACTAATATGTTGTAGCGATGGGCCTGAATCTAGCAACTCCTGATTCATTTATTTTCACTTCTGACTTGTTTAGCAGGGCTTTATCATGGCAATCCCAAAGAATAACAAGGCAAAAGAAAAGAGGATAAGGAGAGGCAGTCGGAGTGTAATCCTTAACCAAAAAATAAAAAGAAGAGCAATATGGGGAAAAGAAAACGCTTGTATTGTCAAGGCTGGGATGAATAAGTGCTTTGAAATGCTGTGCAGAATGGCATAAACACTTAAACTGTACTGGGGACAGAGATGAGAAGGAGTAATGGACAGAGCAGCAGACCGAGAGACCAGTTAAGAGTTATTCATAATTCAAGTTTCCATGCATGGAGGCAACCGTGTTGAGAGTAAAAGAGAAGTCTATTACAAGATAAGGACGAGTCTATAATTTAGGGGAAATGAGCTGTCCAGAGTTGTGTGCAAACATTCTAAAAACAAAAAGGGATAGCAGTCATCGGAGGATATTAACATGCTGGGGAATACAAGCAGCAACGATGGTATCAAGAGGTAGCGGGGATAATTGATTATGACAATATATCATTTCATTAGAAAAATACACTAATGTATGAGCTCCGATAGCCTGCTGACAGCCCCACTAGTCGTTGGATGCGGGGGAGTCTTTGTGATGGAATGTGTAATCCTGTTGAACAACATGGTTTCCTGGTTTACGGAACATTGCTTTTTTTCTTAATATATATATATTTTTTTGGTTCCTCCCCCAACATGGTTTCCTGGTTTCCTGCTTTCCTGTCCAATAATGTGCAGTCATGACACGATGAAAGCGCCTCACGGGCGCACAATAAGCTTTTAAACCCGACTATCCACAGTCAGTCTATTATTCATGATGACATCCTCTCAGTTGTACCAATTGTTGCTTTTGTAGCATAATCTCTATAAACTATAAATGTATAAATCTGTCCTGTTGCTTACCGATTCTGCATAGCAACAAGACAAGATTTTGTAATCGGAAGCGTTCTGGTTTCCATTTGTAGTACAAGTAGTATCGACCAATCACATCAAAGAGGCGGAATGCATTGGCCGAAACTAAACCGTAATAAAGTAAATAAAGTATCTGAAGAAAAGAAAAGAAAAAAAACCCGTTATTGCCATTGTACAGCTCAGACTGGGCCAGTCAATAAAGTCTAAAACTACTGTTCCAACACTTAGTCTATTCTGTTTTTTTGCTCCTATTGGAGTCCCAAAAAATGTTCGAAAAAAATCACCGTAAGCAGTCAGAGTTCGATGCAATAGAGTTTATTCTTTGAGCAAGAAGTAAACCCGAGCATTTGCCCCGCTGAACACAGCCTTATATACTTCCTCGTCTGGGGCCAATGCTCCAGCTTTATTTTAAATTCCTCCTTTGTTGCCCTGGAAATAATGGAGTAATATTTTTATGGTCACGCTCTAGTTTCATAATTCTAATGGGGTCCAAAAACGTTTCTGCTCAGGCATGTTCAGGCATGTTTTCCTGACACCAGGGTTGATTTCATAGATGTGTGCTTAAAACATTGAATGCATTTGATAGTTCTGATTCAAACTCCAACATTGCACCCTGCGCTGGCCACACTACGGTGGGTATGAACCGAGCTTCATCCGTCGTCAGACCGAGAGCCGATTGTTTGCCTCAAACTGTCAACTACAATCCCTTATTTGCAGTGCAGAGCTTCCCGTTGACAATATTAGTTCAGCTTTGTCCTCAGACAAACAAAGAAAGGGAGGCAAAGACAGAGAGGAACTTGGGAGAAGTTTCAGGCACTCAGCTTTTCAAGGATTAAGATGCATCTAATTCCCACATTTTGGCAAAACAAATGAAAAATGAAAGAGACAAATATAACACAGTGGCAATCCATCAGGCAGTGTCTCTTTCCATCTCTGTGTTCAGCGCCTTAATCAAGAGTGTCTGCGAGATAAAGTTGTTTGATCTCCTGAGATGGCCACACTCGCTGCTACTGCCTTCCTGTCAATTTCTCAAATTACAAACCACTTACACAGGTGGCAGAGATGCACAGCTGAAAATGAGAGTCTGACTGTTGCCGAGTTTGGCGTGGATGCTGGGAGCACAATGGGTTGGATGCAATTTCTCCGGCTCTCTAACGAACAGAGTTGGACAGAAGCCGTGGCAAAATTAGTACTGACAAAGTTTCGTGCTCCGACGTCATGCAGTGTTTTGGAAATATTCTTTCTTGTAGCAACTTCAAAAAGACTCATTTGTGTGTCTGTACAAACCTGTTGGTCAGGCAATGGGCAAAAACATGGTTTTTATTATTATCCTAAATATATCTCGCTTTTTTTTCCCGTGAAGTTGCTCGTACCAGCGTTCCAAGTCAGATTCACAAACTTGTGAACTTGATGAGAGCTGCCTGTTTGTGAGATTTGATCGTTGGTATAATTTACGCTCTAAAATGTCTATATAAGTCGACTTGTTCCATTGTATTGGTGTGCGAGTGGCTGGATTATATTTAAAGATATTTGGAGGCCGATACTCTGAGAATGGGTTCATGTTTAGACACTGCTAGGGTCTCTGATTGTAATTCCTGGAGACCTGGGGTGCCAAATACGTCGATCGGAGGTAGTGCGGGTAGATCGCATGCCATTCAAAAAAAATGAGATGTCCGCATGGCATTTGCCACTTGATTTTCTAACACACGGGTCACCACGTATGCGCGGTCAACCGCGCGAGCTACTGCAAAACTACGGCGAGCTAATTAGTTAGCCTTCCAATTTATTTCTACTAAAGAAGCTAAAGCTGCAGCGCCATGATTTGGGAAAAGTCCAAAACCTCGCGTCAGAACTGGAGACTCAACGGAAGGCGTGTGCGTAACTTGACAGTGCGCGCTACACAGAGCAGATTGACAAGTGTCTGTCAGAGTTTGACAAACGCTTTCGAGACTTTGCTTTACTCGAGCCAGTTGCTACACTTATGTGCAGCACATTTCGGGAAGATATTGAGTTCGATTTACTCGCATCAAAAATTGCAATGCTGTTTCACCTGAACTCGTCTGGAGTGGAGGATGAGATTTTGACACTGCAAGCTGACATTCTGCTGAAGTCCAGGGCTCATGGACAGTTTTCTCACAGAGGAAAAGTACCCAAACATGAGGAAATGTGATACCTTTTTGACTGCATTATTCGGCTCTACTCATTTATGTGAGTCAGCCTTTTCCCACATGAAGAACATTAAGTCCATTCACCTTTCCACCATGACTGATGATCATTTGAAGTCTGCTTGAGGCTGGCTACCAGCAGCTACTGTCCGGACTATGCAACTCTGGCCAATCCCATTCAGTGCAAGTCATCAGAGTAAGGTAATGACCAAAAATGTACAGAATTGTATTGTGCCATAAGGGTTCATGCAGTTATGCAAGGTACGCCAACATATATTGTAAATATAAAGTATACTCGGCCGCAGGGACCTCTGAGCGACGGGGCAACCAGTCGCCCCGAGGTAGCAGAGCGAAGTGGTCGGGCCGGGGTGTAGGGCTTGA